TTTATATAAATAATATATACATATGCATATATGCACACACAATACATACACACCGTTTTATCTATCTATCTATCTATCTATCTATCTATCTATCTATCTATCTATCTATCTATCTATCTATGGGACTTTGTGTCCAGTTTCTTGATCGCATCTTCCCAGTGTTTCCTCGAGGATTCGTCCCACTCTTCACTGGTTCCCAGTTTAGAGAGTGGACTGGGCTGCCCTTTTAAGGTCCCTTCCTTTGCAATGGGAAAAAAACCCAAAACCAGGGTTGGATCCGGCTTTAATCTGACCCGTTTTTCCAAGGAGCAGCCCTTCTAGTTAGTTGCGGTATTAAAAGAAAGAGAAGGAGGGAAGCAAGAAGAAGAAGAAGAAGAAACCTAGCATGGCCCCTTTTGAATTTTAGCCTAAAGCTCGTGCTCAGATTCAAAGCAAAACTGGTCTTAACGCTGTTGCTAGACTTCTTTTCCCCTCGTCCTTCCTTCTGTTTCTGAAAAATTAAAGTCAGCCCTGATTGAGCCAAATCCCATCGATTCCAATAGATCTCTTTCTTGTAGGATCTAGTAGGATCTTCTTTCTTGTAGGATCTAGTAGAACGATCCCATCATTCTGTAGAACCGATTCAGAGGTAGCAAAGTATAACAGCATCCAAAATCCACAACAAAAAAAAAGGGATACCTTTCTGGAGCCAGCCAAATATGCACAAAATACACGTTGCAAGCTTTCGAAGCTCTACTGACTTCTTCTTTACAACGGTGTTTTCTTCGGGGATTTAAGATATCTGTGGCTGTAGGATTGCAGATCAAGAGACAGAAAAATGAGGGTGTCCCAATTTTTTTTTTTTTTTTGGGAGAAATATTCCAAAGGTCCCTGTGTCTACTCGGAAGTAAATCCTTCCTTCCTCCAGTCCTGGAATTTACACTCCTTCCAGAGATCCAAAGCCACCCTAGGAGTGGATTTATTTATTCATCACAGGATGGCCACGATCCAGATCCAAGTTTAAATCCTCCTTTTTTAAAAAACAAACAAACAAACAAACAATAACTACAACGATCCCAACGTTGTCTGATTTGGAAGGAAATCCCTCTGACAATAAGGAGGCTTCCTGCAGAGTGACTGTGAGTAGGATCTGATCTGTAAGCCGCCTTGGGTCCTTTTCTGGGAGAAAGGCGACATAGAAAGGAAAAAGGAAAGGAAAGGAATAAATACAATTGGATCGGCTTCTTCCTCGTTCGTTGGCTTGCAGTAAAAGCTTTTTCACCCGGTCTTGAAGGGGGAAAAAGTCCCAGCCGAAGACCCTGGGGTTTATTTTTAAGTAAACCGACCCCTCTCCCATTGCAATCCCAAGGGCTGATCTCTCAGACCGCTTTACTCCGTTGGGAAAGCTGTCGATGTCCCAGTAGCACTGAATTCTTAATAATAATAATAATAATAATAATAATAATAATAA